ACCGCCGGCCGCGTCTGGCCCGCCAGGATCCTGAACCCGGCCCATGCTTTTATGGCCACCCGATGGGCCTTATATCTTCAGGGGCCCGGTCAGCACTGTGGGCGTACAATAGCGTGACCAGGCCCCTTAAAAAAATTTCAGCCGCAAAGTAGTGCTGGGAGGAAGTAACGGCCGGTCACTTCCTCCCAGCTCCCTCCGCGCAGGAGGGAAGAAAGACAGACGAGGACGGGAGAGCCACGCCGACTCCCATCAGCCACAGCGACCCTCCTGCAAAAAAAATAAGAACATTTGGATGTGTTTGTGTGTATGTCATTATGTGTATGTATCTGTCTGTCTGTGTCATGTATGTATGTGTATGTCTGTAAGTATCTGTGTGTATGTATTTCAGAATGTTTGTCTGTCTGTGTGTGTGTGTGTATCTATATCTATGTCAGTATGTATATGTCTATATGTCTGTTTCAGTATGTTTGTGTGTTTGTGTGTGTGTGTGTGTGTGTATGTATATGTATGTCAGTATGTATATGTCTATATGTCTGTTTCAGTATGTTTGTGTGTCTGTGTGTGTATGTATATGTATGTCTGTTTCAGTATGTTTGTGTGTGTATGTATATGTATGTCAGTATATGTATGTCTGTTTCAGTATGTTTGTGTGTCTGTGTGTGTGTATGTATATGTATGTCAGTATGTCAGTATGTTTGTGTGTATGTATATGTATGTCAGTATGTTTGTGTGTATGTATATGTATGTCAGTATGTATGTCTATTTCAGGATGTTTGTGTGTCTGTCTGTATGTATATTTATGTTTGTGTGTCTGTGTGTAGGTATATGTATGTCAGTATGTTTGTGTGTCTGTATATGTATGTCAGTATGTTTGTATGTCTGTGTATATGTATGTTTGTGTTTCTGTGTGTATGTATATGTCTGTTTCAGTATGTTTGTGTGTCTGTGTGTGTATATGTATGTCAGTGTGTGTGTATGTCTATTTCAGTATGTTTGTGTGTCTGTGTGTGTATATATATATATGTCAGTATGTATATGTCTGTTTCAGTATGTTTGTGTGTCTGTGTGTGTGTGTATGTATATGTATGTCAGTATGTATATGTCTATATGTCTGTTTCAGTATGTTTGTGTGTCTGTGTGTGTATATATGTCAGTATATGTCTGTTTCAGTATGTTTGTGTGTATGTATATGTATGTCCGTATGTTTGTGTGTCTGTGTGTATGTATATGTATGTCAGTATGTTTGTGTGTATGTATATGTATGTCAGTATGTATGTCTATTTCAGGATGTTTGTGTGTCTGTGTGTATGTATATGTATGTTTGTGTGTCTGTGTGTAGGTATATGTATGTCAGTATGTTTGTGTGTCTGTATATGTATGTCAGTATGTTTGTATGTCTGTGTATATGTATATGTATGTTTGTGTTTCTGTGTGTATGTATATGTCTGTTTCAGTATGTTTGTGTGTCTGTGTGTGTGTATGTCTATTTCAGTATGTTTGTGTGTCTGTGTGTGTATATATATGTCAGTATGTATATGTCTGTTTCAGTATGTTTGTGTGTCTGTGTGTGTGTGTGTATGTATATGTATGTCAGTATGTATATGTCTATATGTCTGTTTCAGTATGTTTGTGTGTCTGTGTGTGTATATATGTCAGTATATGTCTGTTTCAGTATGTTTGTGTGTATGTATATGTATGTCCGTATGTTTGTGTGTCTGTGTGTATGTATATGTATGTCAGTATGTTTGTGTGTATGTATATGTATGTCAGTATGTATGTCTATTTCAGGATGTTTGTGTGTCTGTGTGTATGTATATGTATGTTTGTGTGTCTGTGTGTAGGTATATGTATGTCAGTATGTTTGTGTGTCTGTATATGTATGTCAGTATGTTTGTATGTCTGTGTATATGTATATGTATGTTTGTGTTTCTGTGTGTATGTATATGTCTGTTTCAGTATGTTTGTGTGTCTGTGTGTGTGTATATGTATGTCAGTGTGTGTGTATGTCTATTTCAGTATGTTTGTGTGTCTGTGTGTGTATATATATGTCAGTATGTATATGTCTGTTTCAGTATGTTTGTGTGTCTGTGTGTGTGTGTGTATGTATATGTATGTCAGTATGTATATGTCTATATGTCTGTTTCAGTATGTTTGTGTGTCTGTGTGTGTGTGTGTATGTATATGTATGTCAGTATATGTATGTCTGTTTCAGTATGTTTGTGTGTCTGTGTGTGTGTATGTATATGTATGTCAGTATATGTATGTCTGTTTCAGTATGCTTGGGTGTCTGTGTGTGCAGAGGCGGCTCTCTAATTAGGCGATTTAGGCGGCCGCCTAAGGCCTCGCGCTGTGTGGGGCCTCGCGGCCACCTAAATCGCCTTGAGGCAGACTGAACTGTCGGGTCCTCGGTCAATGACTGAGGACCCGACAGTGAGAGGGGACCCGGCGGCTTGCCCAGTATGCCGCCGGGTGGCCCCTCCACACGGTCTGCCCACAGGGAGAGCCAGCCTCTGATCTGCAGCTCCGCCGAGTGCAGAGCTGCAGATCACATAATGTGGTTCTCGCGAGCACACAGAGCGTTGCCGCGGGTTACCACGGCAACGCTCTGACAGGCGCTCGCGAGAACGAAGTCTGCAGCTCTCGCGGAGCTGCAGACGGAAGTGATCCCACCGGACCACCAGGGAATTCTATTAAATAAAAAGGTATTTCAGTGTGTGGAGGCTTGTCACAGCCTCCACACACACTGTCCCCATCACTGCCCCCCCACCCTCACTGCCCTGCCCCCCACCCACACTGCCCCATCACTGCCCTGCCACCCTCACTGCCCC